TTTAATGTTTTATTTATTAGGGATTCTTTGCAACACTTTTAATCAGAATCAGAAACAGGTTTATTACCAGGTAGTTTACACGTACGAGGAATTTGACTTGATGTCATGGTGCATACATAAAAGTAAAACAAAAATAAAAAACACAGATAGAGAACTGTTTTAAGAAAACTATAATAACATTAAAAAATATAGTAAAATATAGCAGTATTTACATGAATGAATAGAATGGAATAAAATATGTGCAGTAGAAGAAAAACAACTGATATTGTGTGCATTAATGTAATGAGTAAGTCCCTCAGTTTAAGAGAAAGTAAAAGTGTCGCATTCACACCTAATAGTCCGCTTCTCTGGTGCGCACCAGACGACAGTTTGTTACATTGTTTCATTTTTCAGAAGGTTCGGTTTGCGTTCACACGGGACCTTAAGGGGGTAAAAACGCAAATCCCGGCAATTTCTACCGGAGCCTCCGCCATGGAGCATCGGCAGGTTATTTTCATGCTGTTGTTAATCTGGAGAGCATATCAACAGATTCTAGCAACGGCGCATATGATTATATAATCAGACAACGTGCGATAAAAAACATTATAACACATATAATGAGAGATGTTCTGCAGTAAGGAGGGGGTTTCACCGACGGCAGGTGGCTCTGACTTTTATGTATAGTTTTTAGTTTGATAGTTGTTTTTAATTTACACGACACTGTTCAACACTTCATTCTGCTTCACTCTTTCGCTAATGATTTTGAAGACATCCGCGTTCTTGTGACACGTAAATACTACGCTTCCTATGTTTTGGTGCGGACTGCGTTCACACCAGCGATGAACCGCTCCAGAGTTCACTAGCAAGCGCTCCGAGACCACCTCTTTTAGGCGGACCAGAGTCCGGTTGTTTAGTTCACTTCAGAGGTCTCGGACTGCGTTCACACCAACCCAAACGAACCGCACCAAGCGGCTAAACGCACCAGGGTTCAATTCAACCGGACTATACAAGGCTGGTGTGAATGCGACCTTAATGAATAAGAAAACTTCAGGTGTTTTGTGTAAGGGAACACGTACTCCCACTTCTCATTTGCTGTTTCTCTGAAGCTCAGGAAAAGGGAGGTTTTTGTCAGACAAAGTATTCAGACCCATCCACCAAAACAAAAACAAGAAAATACTGATTTCACATTCATCAAGTCAGCATCTGAAAGTCCTCCCTCCTCCTCCTGCAGGCATTGAGCTGACCCTGGAGATTCAGGGGAGTCTGGACCCCAAAGCCCCTCTGAAGGAGTTCATCGCAGCGCTGCGGCAGGGAGAGAAGTTCCAGCAGAAAGTTTCAGAAATCAAAGCCGAGGTGGAGGCCTTCGCCGGCCAGTTCCCCATGCCTGGCCTCCCTGAGCTGTAGAAGCACTGATGGTTATAACAAACATTATGATGCCAAATGTTTGTGGTGTGTTGTTTTGTGTGTATATTTGATTTGTTTTGTTAAAATCAGGACCCAGCAGTTCAGCTTTGGCCAGATTTGTCTTAATGGTTAAAAAGAAAGATTTGCAGACTTTCTTTTCCCCTCCAAATATCCGTGTTGCTGCGGTGCCTTTTCTGTTTTAGAAATGGGTTGCTTTGGTCTTGGATGTTTCTATCACGCTGAAGCTTTAAACATGGCTGAAATCAACATTTATTTTGTAATCTAATTACAATTCCAAAGGGTTCTTACCGACTGTACTGAAGATGAAAGCCCACAATGTGACTATTACTTTCATACATGAGCATTGTGTCATATACTGTAAACTTATGTGAAGTAATTAATACAATTTGACTTTTTCTTTGACTGAAATACTTCATATTGTTTTTTTGAAATTAACAATACCAGCAGGTTGTCTGTCTGAAATGCATGAATCTGTGAAGATGCTGCCTGAAGTGTCAAATGAAGAAGACTGAATGTTATTTCCAAAATAATAATAATTTCCCACACTCTGGTGCACTGATGATCAATGAAGGGAACTCCTTTTATTGAAATCATACGCTTTCATTAAAGGTGGGGTATGTAATTCACTTCAGAAACACTTTTTGTTATATTCCATGGAATGCTCTTAACATCCCGATAGCAATGAATACATTAAATGCTTTGACAATAAATACATAAAAAAATGTCATCTGTGGAAGCCGTAGTACTGTAAAAAGCACGACCAATCATCTGAGCCGACCCGGCTAAAATAACTGGATGGCCTATCTGCCTGTCAGCCTTCCATCTGTGCACAAACTCATCTCGTGCCCTCATTGGTCATGTGCACGTTCGTGTGTGTTGGAGGAGGGGCTCTGTAAGGAAGTCTGAAGGAAGGGGCAGATTTTTTTCGGCTGCATACTTTCAAATTATAGCGCACTAGAGCTGGTTTCTCCATTCTTACCTACCCTACATTTAATTTAAAGGGGACCTATCATGCAAAATGCACTTTAGTACGTCTTTTTTTTATACATGAATATGTGTCCCCGGTGTTCCAGGGAACTCACCAAGTGTCAGAAAACACAACCCTCTCTCTTTTCCTCCATACCCAAATCTCTAATAACGGGGCTGCAACGGATCTGATAAAAACTGATCCAGATTTGAACATTTCTCTGACGTCAGGACGGAGGAGCTGACCTATCAGGGGAATGAGAGGTTGCCGTGGCATGGTAACAGCATGGTAACACGACGCTCGTAACTCGGCCCCCTCCTTTGCAGGGGGGCGTGGTCAGCTGCAGCGCATGCAAAGACAGGGTGGAGGACAGCAAAATAGAGCGAAATGAGGCATGGCTAAAATGCATGATCTGTTTGGTATTTTGAAAAAGAAAACGTATAAATATACCTTAAATAGGTATGGCCCTACAATATATTATTCAAATATAGCATGATAGGTCCACTTTAAATTAGATTTGTTATCTTCAGAAACAATCTTGTTTTCCAACCAAACCAAGTCTGTTTCTTGCTTCTGAAAACTCAATTAAATCTTGTTCCAAAAGAAAAAAAATATATGGAAACACATTGCATCATTATTTGTTGATTGTTAATTAATACTTAAATTATTAAACATATTTGCTTTTTTTTTTACATAAACTAAAAAAAGATAAGATGTACTTTATTGATCCCAAATTGGGAGATGTTGTCGTTGCAGCGGCATAAAACAAACAAGGCATTGCACATAATTAGGAATTAAAAGAGTAGAAATAAACAATCATAAAATAGAAACATCTCAAAATATAAATAAAACTGCATTAAAGAGTAGAACATATACAGTTTGACCGTGAAGATAAAAAATCTATAAACTATCTGACAAAACACAATTGAAGGGCCAATGTTCATTTAACACAACATAAAGCAGGATATTAAAATATAAATGTACAGTGTGAATTTAAAGTCCAGTTAACCAAAGAGAAACTATGGAGCAGTGAGTTCTCTGCCAGCCAGAGGTGATTTGTTGTACAATATTGTAAAATAGTGTTGAATCGACAAAGAATATACACAACGGCCTTATCCACCCTCACAGCACAACCCGGGCCCTGAGGTCCTCTGAGGAAGGCCTCCTAAGGGTGCCCCGGACCAGGCTAAAAACTAAGGGGGACCGTGCCTTTGAGGCGGTGGCCCCAAGGCTTTGGAATAAACTCCCCCAGACAATAAGAGCCTCTGTCTCAGTATAGATTCTTAAGGGGCAGCTTAAGACTCTCCTTTTCCGACAGGCCTTTGGGGAGGTGCGTTTTGTAGCTGTTTTTCATTGGTGTTTTTTCCTGTGTTTTACCTGCTGTGTTTTATGCCTGTACTATGAATTGTGTATTGTGTACTGTATACTGTAAAGCACTTTGTACATTCGTGTTGAGAAGGGTGCTATTAGAGCCGATGAATGGGAGTCGGAGGCGGCGTGTTGAGTATCAGGGTTCATACAGTCTTTCACCAATGATTGATTTTCAATGACTTTTCCATGACTTCTCCATGACCTTTACCTAATTTTCCACGACCAAAAAAATTACTCTTTCTCAGCGGTACCACTGAAAATTGTTTATTTTAACATGGAACAGTTAAATAAGGTCTGCATATGAAACATGTTGTGCCTATCTAAAACATACTTAGCTTCTACAGGCTAAAGCAACTAAAATCTCTCACCAGCAAAATACCTCGACAGTTAAATGCCATTTTACGTTTCATTACTATACGATACAGTATTTATTATCATTATAGTATTACTATTTCGGCGATTAGATAAAATATAAATTATATTTGATGCAACTTTAGTTACATTTCCATAACTTTTCCAAAACTTTGGGAAAAATATTGTTTTCCATAACTTTTCCAGGGCCTGGAATTTGCATTTTGAATTTCCATGACTTTTCCAGGTTTTTAATGACCGTAGGAACCCTGGAGTATGGAACTCCACACTTTATTTTCCATTAGTTTACACAGAAAGGTAGGAACAACTTCATTACATGCTACTCAAGCTAGAATGATAACAAACCACAGGTGCGCTACCTAACAGGTCCGTGGCGCAACACACTCTCTATAACACAGTTAATTATGTCCCGTAATGTTCCACCACACAATATAAATAAAGTTTTACTTACTTACTTACAAATCTCCTGCCAAGGTCGAAATACAAATATGAAATATAAGAATAAAATTAGTTGTTGTATACAATTGTGTGAAAGGTACCTACTAGATTATGGAATAAGATTATCAAGTGTTGTATTTGTTTCATAATTAATTCAAGAAATCACTCAATTGTGTGCACTAATTGTAATTCCCCCCCTTTCATGAAACCTAGTTTAATATAAGTTTATTTCTGCAGCATGCAGGCAGAAAGTGGCATTTGGAATTTAAATGTAGACATTAATAATTAAATAAGTGTGAAAAAAAGTCAACTATGGTGGTGGAACTTATGACACATTCAACATATCTTGCTTGTTATTTAGTTTTTTCCAAAAACATATTGATACATTATTATAAATCAGTAAAAAGGCACCACAGTTTGATGTGAGCTCCACTCGACGATCGTTTAGTGATGCCTTGAATCCGTCAGGTCAGAGGTCAGGCCGCGCGCCTTCCATCCTTCTGCTGTTGAGAATGAGCAGTTTGTAACTAAAAGCAACAGACCGACTCATGTGCAGGTTTCTCTAAAACAGACAATTAAAGCTCCAAAGAACAGCAGCTTGTCTGGTTCCTCATCAGGGAGCACGCGTATTGTTTCCTTATCGGTTAGCCTAGCAAGCCCGGTTAGCCACTTTAGCTGACTGGAGAAGAAGCTACTTAGATAGCTCAAGCGCTAGCTAGCTAACCGAAAACGGATATTTCTTACTTTGAGGAGCACGAAAGACTCTCGCAGACATGCAGGACCTCCTGGCCACCGTGGATCACCTGAAGTTTGACCTGGAGCTGGCCATGCAGCAGCAGCTCGGGGCTCAGCCTCTGCCTTTCCCCGGCATGGACAGTAAGTGCTCGGATGCTAGCTGGTAGTTAGCCGCTGTAGGTGAACTATAGTCTATAGACAACTGTTGACCTTAGCTTTATGTCTAATGTATTTATTAAGGTTGTAATAATACTGTGTGTGTTTCTGCAGAATCCGGGTCTGCTGTGTGTGAGTTCTTCATGAGAGCAGCTTGTGTGAAAGGTAAAAACACAACATGACAACAATCACACACTGTACTTCCATAAAAGTGTGGGTATTCACAACAGATAGGTTAAAAACATGATGGTCAAATCTGAAGCATTAGAGTTATCCTGACTTTTATCTTCTAGAACTAGTAAGCCTTCAAAAATACTGGATCCTACATTTCCCATAATGCCGCCATTGTAAATGCATGATGTGTATACTCTGTTAGAGCCCAAAACCACCCTGTAATGGTTTCTATTTACTTTCAAAATAACCTATATTACTGGTACACCACAAACTACCACTGCACTTGTTTAAAATGTTATACCATAAATAGGTATCCTGGAAATTCTTATCTACCAGTTGTGTCTGTGGAGAGGCCTTGTGTTAGATCTGAATACACAACATTCACATTTTACACAGGGTTTTTCACAACAAAGGGATTCATGACAAATGTCACAGTTATGTTGACAGTGGAAACTTAATCTGTACAAATGTTTTTTGATGTACCGATTATGTTTTGCATCCACTTCCCATAATGCAGCCATTGTAATCCTTACATTTAATTAGAACCTTTCAAAAAAATATCCAAGCAAGGATAAGTACTCAGATAATGTATGTGTTCAGATATAAGCTAAAATCAACGGTTCACAAATACAATAAATAAACTCTACAGTACACTACATGCTTTAGCGTCTTCCAGTTTAATTGTATAGTGTTATTATTTTGAAAATGGAAATTAATACACTCTGTTAAGTGATTGATAACAAATTAAATTACCCGCTGAAAATGTCCTTACCTTTTTTAAACCAATCTAATGGGAGCAATTATCTGCTTCACAATAATATCCTCTATGTGATTCATTCATTAGCAAACATCAAGACTGGATGCCCTGTAGTTTTTCTTCAGAAAAGTTGTGCCGTCCTTTGTGTCCTATTTTTAACTTGTTTACCCTCCTAGGTGGGATGTGTCCGTTCCGTCACATCAGCGGAGAGAAGACGGTGGTGTGTAAGCACTGGCTCAGAGGACTGTGTAAGAAAGGAGACCAGTGCGAGTTCCTCCACGAATACGACATGACCAAGATGCCCGAATGCTACTTCTACTCCAAATTTGGTCAGTTGACGTGATGTCATATAAAATACATTAGATTATAACTGTTGAACAGCTCCTAATTGATAAAATCACTGCGTGTATTTGTCCCTGTTTTATAATTCTTGTGATGACCCTTTCAGGTGAGTGTAGCAACAAAGAGTGTCCCTTCCTGCACATCGACCCAGAGTCCAAGATCAAAGACTGTCCCTGGTACGACCGAGGCTTCTGCAAACACGGTACGACCTGCTCACAAAAACATCCCTGCTGTACTGATAGTTTTACCCCCAAATATACAGTTTGTATGGAAGCCCATTCCGGCCAGAAAAAGAAAAACGTTCTCAAAATCATGACTTCAAATCAAAAAAATTGTTACCAAACTTTTTTTTAGGTTTTAATTTGACAATATATAGACAATAATTTTACTGTGAAACTTTAACATTATTTAAAGAGTTTTTTTAGATACTAAGTAATTATTTTGACCCTATAGCATTATTTGAACTGACTACTTCATTATTTTGATAAGTTTATCAGTATTTTAAGAAACAAAGTCATTTTCTTGTTGACATACTAGGTCATTTCTTCCAAAAATATATATAATGTTGAAACACTAAGTATTTAGTCATTATATAGATACTTATAGAGAGGTGAAATCCCTCCCTTTCCGGGGGACCTCCATGGGACCTTATTTTGGAAAAAGTATGTATTGAAGTCAATGGAGAGATAAAGATTATCTTTCGATTCCGTTTGAAATGTGGTCAAAAAAATTAAAATGTGTCGTAAAACTGTGAAGTAACACTTTTTTTTGTGTGAAACCGCTCAATGAATTACATCTCCCGTCTCGCACCACACACCAAGACGGCCGTCACGTTGGCACATTTCACTTCTTTCTTTCAGAATGAGGCGAAAAGTATTAAAAGAGGTGAAAATCACTCCAAGTCTGGGCATGTTGAGAGCTGTACATACACACAAGGGGAGTTAGTCGGTTCGTAAGAGCCAGCATGCGGGACCGGGATTCTGGGATTTGTAGTCTTTCTAGTTGCGTATTTTTCATACTCTTATATTTCAACAGTTTTACGACAAACTGTGACTTTTTTGACATGGAAATTATTTTTTAAGATTGACAAACATCATATGTGTAATTCGTGGCACAATTCAAACGGGATCGAAAGATAATCTTTCTCTCCCCATTGACTTCAATACATACTTTTTCCGAAATAAGGTCCCATGGGTCGGATGTAGATGGGCGGGACTTCGCCTCTCTATTATGAAACTATAGAATTATTTTGAAAAAGTTTCTAAATGTTTTTAGCACGTTTTTCATTATTTTAAAATTCACTTTTTATAGATACTAAGTCAATATCCCCAGATACTTTTCTAATAAAAATGAATTAAAGGTTGTTGTTTGTTTTCTTTCTCCCGGTCTCAGGTCCTGACTGCAGACACAGACACACAAGAAGAGTGATCTGTATGAATTACCTGGTGGGCTTCTGTCCGGAGGGGAAATCCTGTAAATTCATGCAGTACGTAACCCTTTCTATATTTGTTTCATACAGATTAAAAAAAGTGAAAAAACACTTATCACCTGTTGTAGCATTTGGTTTTGTAATGTAGATCTAACAGTGAGATGTTTTCCTACAGCCCTCGTTTTGAGTTGCCTATGGGAGCCAATGAACAGCCTCCTCTGTCACAGCAAATGCAAAACCAGGCAAAGGTAAGTTAATACCACAAATACCCGAAAACCCCCCTGCTGAAGCCCTTGCATCTTTACACTGCTCCGTTATTTACCTGCTGAGCAGAGATGGCAAAAGTACACGCATCCTTTACTCAAGTAGAAGTACAGATACTCATGTTTAAAAATACTCTGGTAAAAGTAGAAGTACTGACTAAACTTCTTTACTTAAAGGTGGGGTAGGTAAGTTTGAGAAACCGGCTCGAGATACACTTTTTGTTATATTCCATGGAATGCTCTTAACATCCCGATAGCAATGAATATCTGAAGTGCTTTGACAAAAAATCCATAAGAAAATGTCATCTGTGGAAGCCGTAGTACTGTAAAAAGCACGACCAATCATTTGAGCCGGCCCGTCTAAAATAACTGGATGGCCTACCTGCCTGTCAGCCTTCCATCTGTGCACAAACTTATCTCGTGCCCTCACTGGTCATGTGCGCATTCGTGTGTGTTGGAGGAGGGGCTCTGTAAGGAAGTGGCAGATTTTCTCCGGTTGTGTATTTTCAAATTCTAGCGCACTCGAGCTGGTTTCTCCAAAATTACCTATCCCAGCTTTAAGTAAAAGTGAGGAAGTATGGGCTTTGAAATGTACTTAAGTAAAAAGTACCCATAACTAGCAGCTGTTTTAAAGAGTACCTGACCTCCCTTTATATTAATAGAACAATAATGTCATTGTTAGCTAATGAATGTTTCCATGCTGAACAACGGCAACATGACAACGTTTTCATTGGTCCCTCTTCTTTAGAGAAGACCAGGAAATGATGGATACACGGATCGTGTTCAAATCAATAGGCACGCAATGACTCTAAATAATAATGATCACGCCACCAAACACACATTCAAACTAAAGGAACCAGCCTGTTTGGAAAATGTAAGAAGTAGAAAGTACAGGTATTTGTGTTCAACATGTAAGAAGTCAAAGTAAAAAGTCGTGTACTGATACCAGAAAAATGTACTTAAGTACAGTAACGAAGTATTTGTACTCCACTACTTCCCACCTCTGCTGAAGAGTAAAAACCATGTCTCTCTCCGTGTTTCCTGCTGCAGCCGGTTCCCACCATCGGCCGCTCGTCGCTCTCTCTCATCCAGCTGACCAACTCCAGTCCCAGCATGCGCCCGCAGAACCACATGCCGATGGGTCCTCCTCCTCATCATCAGAACCACATGGGGGGCAACAGAGGGCCCCGGCCCCTGGACCAGGTCACCTGCTACAAGGTGAGTCATGTGCTTTTAATGATTTACAAGGCTTTACATCATCTTACCCCAACATATTTAAGTGACTGTCTCTCTTTTTATCAACCAGCAAGGACACTTAGATCCTCCAATGTTTCACTTTTAAAAGTACCAAGAGTGCATTACAAGAAAACTGGAGAGGCTGCTTTCTGTTTTGATATCGCCCCAAACTGTGGAACAGCCTCCCATTTGATCTTAGAACAGCAACCTCCATTTTTAATTTGGCTTATCATTTTTAGTAGTATCACTGTTCATGTTTTATTTTAGTAGTATCACTGTTCATGTTTTATTTTAGTAGTATCACTTTTCATGTTTTATTGCTTTTACATATTTTAATTATGTTCCTCATTTGATATTGTGATTTGTTGTCATACTGCGTCGAGCATGAAAGGTGCTATATAAATAAAGGTTATTATTATTATGGGAATTTCGCTGTAAAATAGAGTTAAGTATAATATCGTAAAGCTGTAGTTTGGGGAAATATATTCTATGCTTTCTTATTTATATACATGTTATATATTTTAACCTTTTTAAAATATATTTAAAAGATAATATGAATGATGCAGAAATGATTAAATCCTCCAATATCGAGAATCATTTAAAAATGGCATCATATTTATAGATACAATAATAATAATAATAATAATAATAATAACTTGGATTTATATAGCGCCTTTCATGAGACCCAAGGTCTCTTTACAAAGAAGAACAGGAGTAGAAACAAACATAACAAAAACAAAAGGCAGACAGACAGTCAGACAGACAGTCAGACAGACAGACAGACAGACAGTCAGACAGACAGACAAACAGTCAGACAGACAGACAGACAGACAGACAGACAGTCAGACAAACAGTCAGACATACAGTCAGACAGACAGTCAGACAAACAGTCAGACAGACAGACAGACAGTCAGACAGACAACCAGTCAGACAACCAGTCAGACAGACAGTCAGACAGACAGACAGTCAGACAAACAGTCAGACATACAGTCAGACAGACAGTCAGACAAACAGTCAGACAGACAGACAGACAGTCAGACAGACAGACAGACAGTCAGACAGACAGACAGACAGACAGACAGTCAGACAAACAGTCAGACATACAGTCAGACAGACAGTCAGACAAACAGTCAGACAGACAGACAGACAGTCAGACAGACAACCAGTCAGACAACCAGTCAGACAGACAGTCAGACAGACAGTCAGACAAACAGTCAGACAGTCAGACAGACAAACAGTCAGACAACCAGTCAGACAACCAGTCAGACAGACAGTCAGACAGTCAGACAAACAGTCAGACAGACAAACAGTCAGACAACCAGTCAGACAACCAGTCAGACAGACAGTCAGACAGTCAGACAAACAGTCAGACATACAGTCAGACATACAGTCAGACAACCAGTCAGACAGTCAGACAGACAGTCAGACAGACAGTCAGACAAACAGTCAGACAGTCAGACAGACAGTCAGACAGACAGTCAGACAAACAGTCAGACAAACAGTCAGACAGTCAGACAGACAGTCAGACAAACAGTCAGACATACAGTCAGACATACAGTCAGACATACAGTCAGACAGACAGTCAGACAGACAGTCAGACAGACAGTCAGACAGACAGTCAGACAGACAGTCAGACAGACAGTCAGACAGTCAGACAAACAGACAGACAGTCAGACAGACAGTCAGACAGACAAACAAAACAACAAATAGATTAGGGGCCAAAGGCCTTAGCAAACAGATGGGTCTTGAGGGGCCTTTGAAGGAGTCAAGCGTGGGGATGTTGAGGATCTCCGCAGAGGGTGGGGGCTGCCACACTGAAGGCTCTGTCCCCGAAGGTTCGCAGTTTGGTGCGGGGGGGTGGTAAGCAGGCCGGAGTCTGAAGACCGCAGGTTCCGGGGTGGGGCATGTGGGCGAAGGAGGTCCGATAGGTACTGGGGGACATGGGCATGGAGGGACTTGTAGGTGAGGAGGAGGACTTTGTAGGCTATGCGGACCGGCAGCCCGTGGAGGTGGATGAGGGTGGGAGTGATGTATGTGTGAGTACCCTAGAAGCACAGTTTTGAACATACTGGAGCCTATCTGTTCAAAACTGTGCTGCTAGGGTACTCACACAATAATCCCAATGAGTTATTTTGTACAGATTGTGCAGTTCAAATTGTAACCATAATGATAATACATTCAGTAAGCCAGTGTTTAACTGCAAACTCTGTTGTAACACTTCACTCACTGTTAGTACAGAAAGTAAATTACATAAAACAGGTTATTGATCTTGTTTTATGAGGTTTTGGTATTTTCAGTTGTTGTGCTAAGCTACGCTAACTGGCTCCAGCTACATATAGACTGTAAAGGCACGAGAGGCATTGTTATTTTTTCAAATAACTCTAGGCAAGAAAGCAAAAAGGAGCTTTTTCTAATATCTGCTTCTGATTAAGAGCCATTCATGTTTTGTTTTCTTGTCCTGTGTCTATAGTGCGGTGAGAAGGGCCACTATGCCAACAAATGCACTAAAGGACACCTCGCCTTCCTGAGTGGACAGTAACCTCCGGACCCCCCCCCCCACCCCACCACAATGTGAGCAGCAGAAGAGAAGAAGCCCCCCCCCCCCCCCCCCCCCCCCCAGGCTGAACTTAAAGACTTTGACTGCCTCTGTAGTGTGTCACTTCAGGATGAACATTGGCAGATAAACATGGCTACTGTTTCTATTCTTTGTGGATACAAGAAAGAGAAGAGGTCACAATCTGTGGTTTTGAATGTGTCAGTCTTCAGAGTTTTCTACGTTTGTACTGTACAATATTTAAATAGATGTGACACCCAGGATCCAACAGCGCTGTAACAAGCTGCTGTTTCTCCACAGTCTCCCCTGGGTCATGTGACTGCATCAGTGACACCATAACTGTCTTTCTATTCTGATTCTTGTAGTAAATTTGTCCGACAGTGTAAATGCAATAAAAAAAAAAAGTGATAAATGCCAGTACAATGTAAATTCATGATGTTTATACTCTGTTAAGAGTCCAAAACCATCCGGTAATGGTTTCGATTTTCTCAGAAGAACCTAAATGACCCGTTTACCACAAATTACACACTTAAAGGTCCCATGTCATGCTTTTCCGGTTATTACCCGTCCCCTTGTGTGTTCTGTAGCTTTCTGCATGTAAACGGTCTGCAGTCACAAACCCTCAAAGTACACCCTGAAGCGAGTAAAACTCTAACACAGAAAAGACCTGTCTATGCTGCCCCAGAACGCCTCGTTGGGGATTTCTCTTTTTCCATTGTTTTCTTCTTGGGTATAGTGACGTATTTCGGGTGTAGTGACGTAACGTACCAATCCGCGGACTTCCTCACACACACTCGGCGGGACGTTGCGAGGAGCGGGACACTTGAGCTGGCTCACTGGTGTGGGGTCACGCCTGGGCACACACAAACTCCCAGCCAGGCTGCGTGTGTGTGTTTCGGGCTGGGTTTCGCTGTGTCGTAGACGGCCACTGGGCTCACAGGGAGGGGGGGGCAGGAGCTCCAACAAGCCGTTTAGGACAGAGTGAATACACATACTATACAGAGATGCTGTATGAGAAACCAATGTGAGTTTGGAAAATTGCACAATATAAATCTATTTTAGTATACCTCAACAATGGAAATATGATCAGTAGAAATGGCCATGACATGGGACCTTTAGAAGTTTTATACCATACATGTGTATCCTGGAAATGAGTATCTACCAGTTGTGTGTGTGTGTAGAGGCATAGTGTTACTTCTTAATACACAACATTCAAATGTAAGTTTTATGACAGTGGAAACAAATGTTTTTTGTAACAGATGTACCGATTATATTTGCATACACTTTCTGATAGTTGAGAATTCTCACTGTTTACACAGCTGAAATGTAGATAATGGAAACTAAACTCACAAACAACCACACATGATATCCAACAGTACATTTTAGTATAGATTTATTGGTCACAACAGTCACATATTCAACACAGAGCCGGGGAACAGAAGCTCCTGGAAGTCTGATGGGAGGAGCTTAATGGTACTTTCTTATGCGGTCGTGTTCTGGAAGAAAAGAGGTTTAAGTGTTAACAAGTGTTTTTGTGGATCATTGGAAAGTGACATTATCTGAAAAGAATGTCCTAAAAAAACAAGGAAAGCCTTCTTACTGATGTGATCGAAACTCCACACGTAGCTGATCACCACGTAGCCAACCAGCACCATGGAAAGACCACCGATGCCTCCCTTCTTCACGTGGATGTACTTGTTGAGGTATCTTTCATAGCCTGGGAGTGAAACACAAACAGCATAAGGACAGAACGACATTCACATTTCATCCTCAAACTATAAAGCTCTTCATGACCTGAATACAACATGCACAGATTTGAACGTAAATAAACATGGGTGAGAGAGGAAAAGCTCGAGGCAAGAAGCTTTCACAAAGCTGCTGAGAGAAACTTTGACCAACATGATTGATGCTTGAAAGATTTCAGAGATTACGAGGTCTTATTAAGGCCGTTTTTGAATGACTTATTATTCAAACTGAGTTGGACGGAATATTGATTATTCAAAATGTAAGAGTCCTGAAATAAGGGGTGAGAATGCACCTTATATTAAGGATTTTCTGAGGAACAAATTGGGAACTACTTTCAGCCTCAGGATGTTTTGTGAATGACATGCAAGACACTGACACGACAACCGTGCAGAACAGTTGCTAGGTCACAGCATAGAACAATTTGGGGGAAATGTGCATGTTGAAAAGAAAGAAAGTAGGGCTGCTCAATTAATCGAATTTTAATCGCAATTACGATTTTGGCTTGCAACGATTATGAAAACAACATCATCGAAATAAAAGGATTATAATTTTTTTTCAATTGAATTATACTTAAAGTTCAGGGTAATCAACTGTTAAAAATATTTTTCTTTTTTCAATAAATTGATGTTTTCAAACTAAATGGATAATAATCCATTTAGTTTTTAATAATCGTGATATCAATTATTGAGCCAAATAATCGAGCAGCCCTAAAAGAAAGGCATCATTTCTGCTCGCTGAATTTTAAACATTAAAACAGGTATGATATTTAAGATCAAATTTGTTTAATAGGACTTAAGATTTCTTGTAAAATGTACTGCTGAAACCACTTGCATTTAAAAAAAAAAACAAAACATGCAACAATCTTTGATCAGGTTTGTTTTCCCACTGCATCTTGATAATTTGATAAAGGAGGCAAATGTGGTTTCTGTATCTAAATATTTTCTGTTACACTCGCTTCATTCTGCTACTGTTTTGATTTTAAACCCAATAGGCGCTTTCACACCGCAGTACTTTTCCCACAAAGGTTCATCAGAACTTAGTTCATCAGAACTCTTTAGTTCTCATGAACTTAGTAAAGGTCGCGTTCACACCGGAATAAGTCCCTGGGGGAGGATTAGGCAAATGAGCCGCTGACGTCACTTCTTCTGCTTTGGGTTTACTGGCAGGCCGCAAACAACTTCACGGCGTATACTGCCACCCGAAGTCCCCGGCCGGAAGTCCCCGGAGTTGGGGACTGGCTTCAGTAGAAGCTGCTGGGACTCCCAGCTGCTTCTACTGAAGCCTTCCGAGTAAATCGCCAGAACCTCCTCATCTCCACCGCTCCCATAAGTTAGTCTCTCTGCGTTTGTGCGCTAGGCTAATGCTAATAATGCTAATGCGAGGATAATAAAATGGCGGCTTCACAAAACTTTTTGGGAGTTTTACGGGGCGTGGTTTGCAATCCACCCAGCCAATCAGACATAGGAACCTTTTTCTTCCACGAAAGTCCCTGCTCTCTATCAGGGACGGAAAAGGGGGTAAAAAGGTTCTCATTAACTAATTTTAGTTCCGGATTTTTTTGGTGTGAACGCGACATTTCTGAACTATATTGGAACTAAAGTGGGAAAAGTACTGCGGTGTGAACGCGCCTAATGGTTACTGCTGCTTCTCTATCAAATCTCTTCTCATCTAAATGGGATCTGCACCCTTTTTTATGTAATTGACCTTTTGTGACAGCTCCTCCTTTCAAGACATAACGTCAGAGCAGGTTTCCTCACCCTTGCGGACGGAAGAGATCATCCCGTTGGGGGTGAAGTCGCGACCTCCGACCCACGTCCCAAGCTCTCCCAGCTTCACCTCCATCAGACGCTTCTCAACAACGGGAACTGGTCACAAGTGGAGAGAGCAAAGACCGGGAGTTATTTAAGTCTTCATACAGAGGTCATATACAAATATCTCAACTTCAAAAAATAAAGAAATAAAAGTAAAAACACTGATTCACATATAACACTCACTGGAGGTGTTCTTCAATACAAATAAAACAATCGATTAACTTCTTCCCTTTCCTTCTATCTTAACTAGAAGGTTAAGCACTATATGCTTGCTATTTGTATGTATTGTATGCAACTCCATTCACCTTTGTCCTAAAGTGTATTTTCTACTGATGCATTGCTGCAGCACTGTATTCTACTTTCTGTAAAATTGTGAAAATAAAGTTCACAACAAAATATGTTAAATGTAATATAACCTAATTTACCCCTGGGGATCAATAAAGTTTTTCTCTCTTTGAAAAAACCCCGCAATAAAATAAAAGACTAATGCAGCTAAAAAGGTCAATCTGCAACGGGTGACATGAATGCTAACGTTACTATGAATTAAGTATTATGGCAGACCGTTCAAATCCCACTGTAAAGCAAATTCGTACTTCATGCGTTTAGTTATTAAGGAATAGTTTGTGTTTCAGGGTTCAAATAAACCGAATTCAATATCAAAGTTATTGGTAACAGGCACTGAGTTTGAAGGCTACAGTGCATGCTAGCAGAAAGAAACGGTTACATAACGTACATATGCAAAGACAACTTAATTATGACAGCTTTGCACAAAGTCACAGTCATGTTTAAAGATTAGCATGACAGTTACATGTCAAAAAGAGACTCCTAAATGTATTTTAAAAGCAGAAAACGAGCAATGACAAGCAAAGTCCTTGACGTGACTTAAAGGATTCAGCGGCCTACAGTCAGACAAAACCCTTAAAATGTATCCATTAACGGTCAGACAGACCATACAACACACACAGTTTGATAAAATATAAACATTTACTAAGACAAAATCACATTATGGAGATATTTAACATATTTTAAAGCAGAGGACACGATGTTTTACCTGCTCTATCCGCCATCTTCACTGGTGCGAAGGGTTTGCACAGGCAGCGGGGGATTGTGGGTAAAAATAAGTGAGAAAGTGCATTATGGGAGAATTTGTAGTTCTTTATTCAAACCGCTGGAGGGCAGCAGAAGAGATGAAACCAGAAGTCAAAATCCAAAGCCTACATTTGTTCAAATAAATACAAATATTTCGTTTGTTAATTTAGATTAATGAAGGGTTTAAAGAGCAATATATCATGAAATAAAATAGAGTATCATGGCATGAGTTTACATAAATAAATAAAATGTTTATGAAAAACTGGGAGCATGGTCTAAACATTTGAATAGCTTTTTGTTTTTTGCTGACTTTAAAGGTCCCATGTCATGGCCATTTCTACTGATCATATTTCCATTGTTGA